CATAAAAGTGCATTAATTCCGTCCATCAATCGTACAAAATGCAAAACATGATCATATATTGTTGACTTTTTACAAGCTAGTAATAACTCATTGATCGTGGTTACATTTTTCCAATGCTGTGATACACGTACGTGCTCAAGATTTGGCGATCGAGTTGCATAATGAAATTCCCGTAGACCCTAGTAGTTGGACACTATATATAATACCATTAGAATTTCAGCCTTGGGCATATATTAGATTTTAACATTTGGATCAATTTACACTCTACGGATGTATTGAGTATATGTGATCAAACGGTTGATACATGTCAAGACAGTGCCAGCAGAGAATAGGATCAAATCTATCGATATTATTATTATTATTATTATTATTATTATTATATATATATTTTGTCTAGGCATGGAATAATCAAAGGNAAAATGATTTCGCTTTTCTTTTTTTTTGTTTTTTTTCACTTCATAATTGTTAAATTATAATAACCTTTTTATGTATTTCCTTTTGTTGGTGGCTTATTTTAATCACCTTTTTTTTCCTTTTTTTTTCCCCGAAATTTAGGTATAGTGGGTTTGTATTTTTCTAATTGACATCCTTTTCGTTTTTATGCTTATGTGGATTAGTTTTCTAATTATGAAAATATTTTGGACTATACCTCATGTACACATGTAACAGTTACTATGAAGAGATACGCATACATGATTATAACCTGCACTATTGCTTTGAATTCTAACATAAACTGGTCAATTGCTTTCGACTTTGATGCCTCTGAGAAAAATAAGTTTGTAGAGTTGTGAGCTCGAAAGTAGTTTGGCGAAATTTTCTCTCTATTTCTCAAAATCAAATCAGAGTACAAAATGAGGACTACGCTCGGTTAAGTACGCGAGCTTAAATCCATAATGACCAATACAGCACTGACGCGTCATCAACTAATAAACTGCTAATATAAATCGAAAAGAGAAAACGCACCTTGGGAATGTGGTTGAGATCCACCATTCCCAACTTGAGCAAGAAAAATCGAAAGTCAGCTCCCCCAAGTGGCTTGGTAAACGTGTCTGCAGGCTGAAGAGATGAAGAAATGTGATGTGGCAAGATAAACCCTTCTTTAAACTTGTTCCTCACAACATGGCAATCAATGTCCAAATATTTGGTCCTTTCATGGAAGATCGGATTGGCCGTGATGTGTAAAGTTGCCTTGTTGTCACACCGCAAAGGAATAGGGAGTGAGGCTTGTAAGTTCAAATCACCAGCTAACCCTACTATCCACTGCAGCTCACAAATTGTAGTAGCCATGGCCCTGTACTCGGCTTCTGCAGAAGATTTTGAGACTGTCTTTGCTTCTTTGTCTTCCAAGAGATTAAGGCATCACCCAAGAAAATGCAGTAGCCAGTGATAGACTTCCGTGTGATGGCACAAGTGCCCCAGTCAGCATCACAAAAGGCTTGAATAGAGCCATTTGATGCCTTAGGAAAATAAAGCCCCAATGTACAGCTGCCCTTCAAATATTTAACCAAGTGAAGTGCTGCAGTCCAATGACTCTCCAGGGGTGCTTTAATGTACTGACTGAGTTGTTGAATAACATAAGATGCATCAGGCCTAGACAAGTTCAAGTACAAAAGCCTTCCCACAAGTCTTCTGTAAGGCTCAGGATCAATCAAAGGAGAGTCATGATGACCTTGTGGAAAGGGAGTAACAATGGCCTTAGAATCTTGCAGCCCAAGATCCTTGACCAGATCAAGAATATATTTCCTTTGACTGAGATGAGCACCTTGATTTACCTGAACAATTTCCAAAACCAAGAAAATATTTGGCTAGTCCAAGGTCTTTAATGGTAAATAACCTGTCCAAGTATGATTTGAGATGTTGGATTGCTTCAGTAGAAGTACCACTAATGAGAACATCATCCATATAAATGATAAGTGCCAAGAATCCTTGAGAGGAGTTTTTCACAAACAAACAGTGATCATGTGTAGATTGTTGAAATCCATAGGCAACCAGTTTGTCTGAAAATTCCAAGTTCCATTGCTTAGAAGCTTGCTTCAAACCATAGAGGCTTCTTTATAAAAGACATACCTCCCCTTGCTTAGCTTTCTGATATCCTTGAGGTGGTAACATCTTCTTCAAGGAAGCCAGGAAGGAATGCATTATTGATATCCATATGATGTAAGTTCCATCCATGTTGCACAGCCAAAGCAATTAAGATCCTCACAGTTACCAACTTAGCTACAGGTGAGAAACTTTCTCTGAAATCAACTCCCTCAACCTGTAAATAACCCTTTGCTACCAGCCTCGCTTTATACTTGTCAATGGACCCATCAGGATTTCTCTTGATCTTGTAAACCCATTTTGAACCAATTGCCTTTTTCCCTGGTGGAAGTTTGGTCAGTTTCCAGGTATGATTGAGTTCCAAAGCATCCAATTCCCTTTGCATAGCTACAACCCATTTAGGATTTTAGCAACTTGGCCATAGAATAAAGGTTCACTGTCTGTTTTCTCAACCTCTGTCATAAACAATGCATGTTGTTTCTGGACTAATTCATCATGTTTGGTGTGAGCCACAGTCTTGTAACCAAGCTGGTGGTTTCCTTAGTCTTTTCCCATCAATCTCTTGTGGAGCAGTCTCCATTACTTCTGTTGAGGGTCCTTCTTCAAAATTGTCAGTCCTTATTTGCTTCACATGTTTTCCAAATTGAACCCTCACCATTTCAAGAAAATGCTTCAGATTGAGATATGTCTTTGACTTATACTTCATAAGAAATATCCAAGTTCCTCTTGTTTTATCAGTCACTATTGTCAGCATATAAGACACATTTATAATTGCTTCATCATGGAAAGGCCTCCAAACATCAACATGTACTAAATCAAACATGCTTTCTGCCCTTGTTGTACTGAGAGGAAATGGTAATCTGCTTTATCTTGCTCTATGACAGATATCACATGGTTTGACATTCTTTCCATTACGAAAATCCTTGAGAAAGTTAATATGCTTTAAACATGATATGGAACTGTGGCCCAGCCTCTTGTGCCACAGCTCCAATTGTTGAGTATCAGTTTTGTTTTCTTTGATTTGATTCACCACACAATGATTTCCTTTAATGATGTATAAACCTTCATGAATCACACCCTTTGCCACTGACCTTTTCTTTTCAAGGTCCTGCAGCCAACATTCCTGTTCATCAAAAGTGCATATCAACTTTTTCTCTTCTGTAAGTTGACCAATGGACAATAAATTGTACCTAAACTCAGGTACTATCAACACATTTCAAGACAATATCTTCATTCAGTTTGACATTTCCAGCCCTTGTCACTTTGATTTTGGCTCCATTAGGTAAGTTGACTGTAATAGGCATATGCATATTGCTTTAGCTTTCCACTAAGTCAGAATTACAACAAATGTGCCTACTAGCTCCACTATCTACAATCCAGCTAGTTTCTTCTATGTTTTCCAGCAAAGAGAAACCAAAATGATTGATGTTACCTGAGAAATCAGTATGATGTCCATAAGATGATGAATCTCCACTATGTTGGCTAGCCATGTATCACCAAATGGACTGTTAGTCTGTGGTTTTTCTCCATCAGTCTCACTTGATTTGTTGCTCATGCTTTGATCATCCACCATATTAGCAACCTGACCAGACCTTTAATTCTTTAAGTCTTTATACCACTCAGGATAGCCATTGAGCTTGAAACATCCTTGAATTTCATGCCCATTATAACCACAGTGTTCGCAATACAGCTTTGCTCTTTCTTCCTTAGAAAGCCTAGGTTGGCCTCTACCTCTTGCTGCATTGTTGTAATTTTGTCCAAATGATCCTCTACCTGCAGAACCTCTCCCAAAGTTTCCCATTCCACTAGATCCTCTTCCAAAATTTCCATTATTTGATCCTCCTCTTCCATATCCTCCTTTTACCAACCTAATTGAGCTATCCATACCTTCTTGTCCTGAGTTATGGATATTTTTCTGTTTTTCAACCTTCAATATCATAGAATAGGCTTTATTTATGGTAGGTAGAGGTTCCATCATTAATAATATTTGGTTTTTCACCGGTTCAAACACATCATTCAGCCCCATTAGATACTCCATGACCTTGCTTTCTGAATCATTATCACTGTATGCCTATTCAACACCACAACTACATTCAAGTAGGGCAACCAGACATGCATACTCATCCCAAAGGCATTTCAATTTTGTGTAGTAGGTTGTGACAGTGAGATTACCTTAGGCAAAATTTGAGATCTCCTTCTTCAGTTGATATCGAAGAGATCCATTACTTTCTCCGTACCTCTCGGCTAGCTCATTCCATAGCTGTTATGAGCTTTTTACACACATGAAGGCTTCTACTATATCTTTCGAGATCGAGTTCAATATCTATGACATTACCATGAACTCTACTTTTTGATACTGCTCATGGTCTTCTGAACCTAGATCTGGAACTGTGACCGTGCCGTAAACAAAACTTAGTTTGGATTTGGCTCTGAGTGCTAGCTTCATTGCACGACTCCAATGAAATAGTTAGATCCATTGAGCGGATTGCTCACCAACACCATTCTTGGATGATATGAACCGTGAAGCAGAAGTGGATCTGAATCGCGTGCGTATCTAGCGACTGTCGCATCTCATCCTCCGTTGGGCGCCATTGTTTACCTGCTCTGATACCATGTAGAGCTGTGAGCTCGAAAGTAATTTGGGGAAATTTTCTCTGTATTTCTCAAAATCAAATTAGAGTACAAAATGAGGACTACGCTCGGTTTAGTACGCGAGCTTAAATCCATAATGACCAATACAGCACTGACGCGTCATCAACTAATAAACTGCTAATATAAACCGAAAAGAGAAAACGCGCCTCTATAAATAAAAGGCGACTTAAAATACACAAAAGAACATAAAACTAAAATGAAAGCAAAAAACATAAAACTTCCATGCATAAGTGTTCATGAGAGTATCACTATGCCAACAAAGTTTGTATCAATTTTACAGTTTCATTTTCGTAAATGAAAGACTTGAGAAAAATGACATAAAATCATTTTAAGCTAAAATGTAAGAAAAAATAGATTGGAAACTAGCATGAACCAATGTCGAAACAACCATTAAACGAAGTGATACATGAATGAGGCGATGTTAAAAGGAAAACTCCGAATTTCAGCACCTGTTAATATTGTTTAACTGTCATCATATTAACCATTTTCACTGATAGCAAAAGGTCCATTTCATATAGAGCACAAATGACGTCATAATAACAAAGTACAACAACAATATCCGGAGAAAAAAACAAACAAACAAAGAAACAACACATTTTATTCATTTAACACCGAAAAACAAGGAAGAACAAAAGATGAAGCTAGTATCGAGCCTCGTGCCAAGAATTTGCTGCAACCCAATCAAATGCAATAGGGCTCAAGAAAGCATCAGGAATACCAAAAGAAGAGACCAATGCAAGCGCGTGAGGCCTTGTTTCACGGCAAAGCTGTGCAACTTCATTCCTCACTACCGCAACATTCTCAACAGATAAATAACCATATCGGAGGAAAGCAGTTTCTTCGTCCAACGTAACCAGAACGTACATCGACCTCAAAAGACCCAAAACATGCTGCAGCACATATGAATCGATATTTCAACATTTATGTGAGTGTAATCATAATATCATATACTGATTATTACCCACTTTCAGGCACACTCCTGTTACTTTTCGGTTTACTAATTTTCGCCACTGATTTTTCCCTACCACATCTTGTTTACTAAGACTTCGTAGGATATACTTTGCCTACTTCAATAAGTAATCCGCAAGGTTGACAACTTTAAGATGTGATTGGATATAGATTTGATTGGTTTTTTGTTAACCATAATTAATTTTGAAAAAATGTGGTATGGTTAGTTGTTAGTGAGAATTTAAGTTTAAACAAAATAATATTTAAAATAAAATAATTAAAGTTGATTTGATGGAAAAGTATGAGAAGAATAATTGGAAGTGATGGTTAATAAAAATTATGTAAGTGGATGAATAGTGAATTAAAGTTGATGTGATGTATAAGAATGATTGGTGGATATTATTATATTATATTGATAATATTAAAGATAGTGAAAATGAGTTAAAGTTGAGTTTTGATTAGTTTATTTCTGGTTAAGTTTATATCCAATCACACTTCAAATATCTGGGATACACGAGTTGTCATTACCCAAAATATTATCAGGCATTTAGTGGTTACCAATGTTCTGAAAACCGGACCGGACCGGCCGGTTCGACCGGTTCAACCGGGAACCGGTCATAGTACCGGTCCGGTTTTAGTGTTTGAACCGTTAGGAGCAAGAACCGTCATCGAACCGGATGAACCGGTCAAAAACCGGAAAAACCGGCGAACCGGTACCGGTTGGGACGGTTGAACGGTTCTGAAATTTGGAAATTGAAAAAATTGGATTTTGTCATATTGGGCTGTAGCTTGTTGGAGTTTTGGCAATTTGGCACCAGCCCAAACCAATTCTTTACTATCTTGAGATTTTGCANTAATGAATTAGACAAAAAGAAAAGCAGACAAAATCACAATTCACAAATTAAATTACGAAACAAAAGAGAAGGGCTGAAAATTTTTCTGTACTCGTCCTGAAATCGAAAATCAAAATCCCAATCCAAAACCCTACATCTCTACCTCCATTAACGCCCCGCAATTCCGGTCAGTCCCAGTCCAAATCGAGATTCTCCGAGCGGTCACACCTCCTTCCTTGAACACCTCGCCTACTCCAACCATATTTCTTCCGTTTGTGAACACTTCGCGACTCCGACGGTCCGAACAGATTTTCTCCCATCGTGAACTCACCCCGACGACAAGTTGGTCGCACCTCCGGTCGTGACCGGTGAGTTCCAATCAGCCGTGCAGCGGGTAGATGCTCATGTTCCTCTCATTTGCATTCTCGACCCGAATCGCTGTTCGCTCGTCCGACTAGTGCACCGCCCCTGTTCATTGTTCGTTGTTCGCTTGTCCACTCCTCTCTGTTGCTGTCGTCTCGAGCAGCTCTCGTGGTTCTCCGACCAGCTCTCCGTCACAGGCTCACAGTCACAGGTATGGAGGGTTCAAATAATGAAATGCTATCTTCACAGTCTAGCCGTGGGAAATCGGATCCTGCTTGGCAATATGTCGGTTTAATTCGTGAGAATGGAAGGTGCATATACACTTGTTTGTTCTGTTCAAAACAATTTAAAGGTGGGGGAATTAATCGAATGAAACAACATCTGGCTGGGAAAAAGGGAGAAATAGCTGCGTGTAAGAAAGTGACGCACGATGTTAAATCTCAGATGGCTGCACACTTAGATGAAGTAAAGAAAAAAAAGGATGATCCTAATTATGATGATGATTATGAGGAAGGGAGCACGGCAAATGTACCTGAAGAAGTGCGAGAAGTTCCCGAGTCTACTCCGGCTACTAGTAAAGGGAAGAGAAAAGCCGTCGCTGGTCCCGATAGATATTTTGCGCCGAGGACTACTCCCGGATCTCAGCCAGGCCTTAAAAGTGTGTTTGCGACCAAAGAGGCGGTGAAAAATGCTAATATGGCACTTGCTTGATGGTTCTACGCCACTTGCATTCCATTTAATGCGACCCAATCTTGTTATTTTCAGCCAGCTTTAGATGCAATTGCTGCCATTGGACCTGGATTTAAAGGTCCTTCATATGATGATGTTAGGGTCAACTTGTTGGGAGATTGCAAAAAAGAGTGTCAGCTTCTCGTTGAAAGTTATCGAAGCAATTGGAAGAACTCTGGGTGCACACTTATGGCAGATGGCTGGAGTGATCAGAGGCAAAGAACTTTGATTAACTTCTTGGTATATTGTCCCGCAGGTATGACATTCATTAAATCTGTTGATGCTTCAGACATGGTGAAAGATGCAAAAAATCTGTTCAATTTGTTTGTTGATGTTATTGAATGGGTTGGGCCTGCAAATATTGTGCATGTAGTGACTGATAATGCAGCAAATTATGTAGCAGCTGGAAAGTTGATTCATGATAAATATGAAAACATTTTTTGGTCCCCATGTGCAGCACATTGCTTGAATCTGATATTGAAAGACATCTCTTCATTACCTCATATAAGCCACCTTGCTTCTCGTGCTTCAAAGATTACCATTTTTGTCTATAATCATATGGTATTTCTGTCTTGGCTTAGAAAAAGGCCTGGTTGGAAGGAGATAGTACGTCCAGGAGTTACTCGATTTGCTACAGTCTTTATTACTTTAAAAAGCATTTGTGATCATAAAGAGGACTTGCAAGCTTTGATGGTTGATAAACACTTTACTGGTCATAGATTAGCTAAAAGTGTTAATGGAAAAAAAGTTTGTGAAACCATATTGGATGCTAAATTTTGGCGAGAATGCCAAATTGCGGTTAAGCTTGCAGGACCTCTTATTAGATTGTTGCGAATTGTTGATGCGGACGAAAAACCATCTTTAGGATATGTGTATGAAGGAATGCAAAGGGCAAAGAATGGTATCAAAGAGATGTTCGGAAAAAGAAAAAGTGTGTACAAGCCTTACACTGAAATTATTAAGGCTCGATGGGATAAACACTTGCATCGTAGTATCCATGCTGCAGCTTATTTTCTCAATCCTGCTTTCTTTTATGATGAAAGTTTCAGTGAGAAACATAGAGTGTTGAATGGATTACTTGATATACTCGACATCAAGAGCCTATGTAATGATTCGATTAAAGCAATGAAAGAGATACAGATATATAGAGAGCGCAAGGATAGTTTCGCTAGGCCATCTTGTTTACAGGCTGCAAAATCACTTACACCGGGTAAAATATTATTTATAGTTGTATTTTTTTATGCACATATTGTATAATTCATTTATTTTAATCAATTTTTTTCCTATTTTATTATTGCAGATGAATGGTGGAGGTTGTTTGGCGGGAGTGCTCCCATATTAAAAAATATTGCCATCCGCATCTTGAGTCAAACTTCCTCATCGTCAGGATGTGAACGAAACTGGAGTTTGTTTGATATGATCCACACCAAAAAAAGGAATAGACTAGAGCATCAAAGGCTTTGTGATCATGTTTACATCACTTACAACTTGCGTTTGAAAGATAGGTAAGTTAATATTATTATTTATTAATTCATATGTGCAATGTTTCTTTTGTTGGCATTTGTTACATTTTAAACTTCTCTAAATAAATTATAATTTTTATGTTATAGGAAGCATCAAAAGAAAAGGTCTTATGATCCAATTGATTATGAAAGCATTGACAAGCTTGATTTTTGGGTGGTGGATGAAGATCCACAACCGGATTTTGATGAGGATGAAGTTGGAAACTTAATTTATGATGAACAAGCTATTCCAATTGTTGGTAAGTTGTTTGCTTACAAAAAAATTATATCATGATTTGGTATATTTATTTTGAGCAATTCATGTTAATCTATGTCCCATTTTTTTTTTCATTTACGTAGATCGCAATGAAGTTAACATGGACATAAATATGCCGGATGCATCCAATTTGAACTCCGGTGGTGGTGGAGATGATGGAAATGGGGAAGATGAAGATGATTTTCTTGGTTATGGTTATGCCGATGTTGGATTTGGAGGAGTTAGTGGAAATTATGATGATTCGTTCTAGTCGGTGAATTGTGTTGTTTTGTAATGGCTTTGAACTTGAACTACTTTGAACTTGAACTACTTGAAACCATTTCAGTATTTCGTTTTTCCTTTGTTGTAATGTTGGATTGGATGTATTTTGAATTTTTTATGTTTGATGACTTGGTAGTTTGTATTTGTAATTTGGATTTCCTTGCTTTAGATAGTGAATTATTAATATTTAATCTATTGTTTTGGTGAACTTAAATTAGTATTGCTTATGTTAAACTATACTTAAAATAGTGATTATTCAGCTCTTAGATAGAAAAATGTCATTATATGCTATAAAATTAATGATAAAAATATATACAATTATATATTATATATATAAAATAAATAAATAAATTATATATTAATTAAACCGGTTCGACCACTGGTCCGACCAGTGAACCATTGAACCAGTAGCTTCACCGGTTCGATGACCGGTCCGGTTTTCAGAACATTGGTGGTTACCCACTCTCTCTTCTCTCACCAACTGCATATATGCATATACGCAATAGCAGATGGAAAAGAATAATTAGTTCTTTAGATTTTACCATAGATTTTCACAATGCACCCGCTGGTATATTTGTCTTTTTATTATTTTGATCTCAACAATTACATTTTAATTCCAGATGCAGTAGTACTTTGAAAATTAATCTTTGATTCAGAATAAATTCCCTCTCACTAACACTCTGCACCCAAAATAGTAATAATGACAACAGCAGAAAACAGTGACGAAAGCATATCAGATTGCCATGGGAGAGAAAACACACATACCTTCAAGCGGGCATCTGTTACATTATTCTCAGCGTCTATAAAAGTCTGCAAAATTGTACGGTCAGAAAAGGCTCTGCCTAGATCTTCAGCCAGCTGGTAACTCTGCAGGAAAAAAGATATAAGAGTTACAAAGACAGCGTAATGCTAGGCAGCAGGTATTGCCATGTAAGATGAGAGTCTTGTTTTCTGATGCAAAATTACCGCAATAAAAGCAGATTCTTTGCTTACTCCCTGAATTTGATACTTCAATACTTCACCGGCGAAGCGGTTTAATAGATCTCTTTCTCTCAAGCAGAATATATCATTCTGTCACAGAAAAACAAGCACGCAAATCCTGAAATTTTTTTCGAACATAATTCCTTTTTTTGGATATTATATAAAAATAGAAGTTATATCTACACCTGAAATTCAGTACTCCGGACCGTGTCAACAGTAAGCTGTGAAGGAATATTAGGTTGAGGTTTATTCATGTGTTCAAGTCCCAATTCTTTGAAAGGCTTGTCTCTCTTTTTGACACTTGCATACTCTGCTAACAGTGCCTTACTGACCTGTATAAAATTACATGATTCAAACTTTATATGATTGATAACTAAAAAGTATTTCACCTTAAACTTGGAAGCGCTAAAATCAATTGATTGTATTAGCGTTAAACCATAATTGAAGCTTTGCATTTTACAGAAAGGAGAAAAAAACAAAAAAACAAAAAAAAAAATAAAAATGAAATCTATACTTGATAGTATGGATACATACGTGTCATTTATTTCTTTGTCTACTAGCTACACACACTGAAAGGGGTATTTAAAGGCAGAGGAGAAAAGAAAGAATAGCAGGAAAGAGATAGTATGAGTTTTCTGTACATATGCTACGTAAAGTGTAACTAATCCTCTATATTGTTATGAAGGACTAATAAGTTATCTATACCTGCTGCATGAGAACATTGTTGTCGCCCTCAAAAGTAGATTGCACATCAAATTCACCTTTCAACTGACCAATACGGTTTTCTGTCTTCAAGCCTTGTCCTCCGCAAGCCTCGCGACATTCCTAAATCAATATTCCTCTGGTGTAAGACTCGGAGTCCATGAATATATACAAAAAAAAAAAAAAAAAAAAAAAANAAAAAAAAAAAAAAAAAAAAAAAAATGACTAGGTTGGTAACCTGAAGAGTTCGCATGTTATGCCATGTTAAAATAGCCTTGAATGCACTAGAAACAACATGGACTGATTTGATTGATTGAGGAGTTCTCTTAACATATAGTAGTTTTAGATAGTTGGCAGCGAAGCTCATAGCATAACTGTGGCAAAAGTAAAGAGTAACATAATAAATATAACTGTCACGAGTATGTTTCTTAACAATAATTAGTATGAAAGAAATGTTAAATTGGTATATAATTAATTGGGTTGCTCAAATGATATGATGTTTAAAAAACGATAAAAGAAAACGAAAAGAAAAGAAAAGAGTAGGCCAGATGAATTTTACAACCAAATTATTCATTCCAACTTCCGATATAATCTGGTGTGAAGTTAAGGAAAGGCAATTCTAGTGATACAATATGACATTATTGTTAGAATTTTGTGTTTGTCCGACATTGATTAGTAACTGGACTGTTATTATTTTTAGTGTGGATTAGTTGATGGGTAGTTCTTGCGTTATTGGTTAGGCACCTTCTCCCTTTGAACTAAAACCTAAGCAGATTTGCAGCGTAAAAGCCATCTATAATTTGTTCTTGTGAGCACTATATCATATGGCAAGTCCAAATAAGCAGTTCGGCCAGTAATTTCCAGGAAATCTCTGCTATATGCATTTAAGTGATAATCAGAGAATTTTCAGTGATTGGCTGATTATTACCATGTGAAACTAGAATACAAACACCAATATATTCTTAGGAGAAAACAAGCAAAATTTAACACTCACGTCTTTGCAAGAAGAGGTAGAAGGCGTCGTTGATGGCTTGGGTAATCAAGCAAAAGAACTTCAGGAGTATTTGGTGCAACTGAAAATGCTCTCCTTGTCAAAGAGTATCTTATGGCAATGGCTAAGCTAATCTGTTGAGAGAAAACCAAGACATCAAAATACTAGGATAGGTTTAAGTAGCTCATACGTATTCTCACGGGTATTAGAAAAGACAAAGAAGCTTTGGAAATTGTAGGAAAGACAATGTACTCTATGCTGCTATCACCTTTGCAGAGTAAATTGCACTGGTTGCAATGGTGACACGTCCAGATGTCAATGGGGCCATGAATGCTCCAAATCTCTGAAATTATACTTATATGTTAATTCCACTTGACAAGTAGAGCACATTATTGAAACCCAAGCAAAGTAAATGTTGGAATTATTAATACTGCTGGTGTATCTGGAAATAATTCAAGAGACAAGTACATGAACGTATAACAGTAGTCAAGATAAACATATAGAGTTATAAAGATGAACTAAAATAAACCAGGTTCATAAAACAAAATCCTTAGACATGAAAGAAGAAAACCTGGTCAGGGTCCTTTATCGCACTCAGATATTTCCCATCTGGAGAAACATCAGCAACTGAATTCAATAAATTTTCGCGAGGGATGCGAACATTGTCAAACCTGCGAGAAGCCACAGTAAGACCAAACTAACTCAGATAGTAGATAATGAAAAAAATCTACAATAACGTAGAGACTGGACATGTTTTATTTACCATATTCGACCATTGTCAACACCATTCAAACCAATCTTATGACCGCAATCAGCGATCCGGATATTAGGACATATTGTTCCATCTGCATATCTAATTTGGGTTATAAAAGCATGGACACCTTCATTCTTTCCATCAATTTCGAGCTGTGAAAAGACTACCGTGTGTGTTGCATGCTGCAAAGAATGAAAGAACGATGTCATGAGAATAACATGTAGAAAATAAGCATGTCAAGCGACTTGTTGTACAGTCTGATAGCAAGCCATTACATTAGCTGCACCTCCAATCCAGTACTTTTGAGCAGATTCACATGGTGTGCTGATAACAAACTCCCCTGATTTTGAATCATAAGTGGTAATTGTTTCAATGCCTCGAACCTGAAATCATAAAACAGATTGCCTTCAATACAATTTCATGACCCTTCAAGAGAGAGAGAGAGAGAGAGAGAGAGAAGCAAAAAACTGCCCGTTAGGCTGCACTCCATGAATTGAATTGAGCATATTAACAGCCAGCCAAACTTACATTGCTGCCATGCCCCAACTCCGTCATTGCAAAGCAGCCTTTGATATCGTAATTTTCTGTTGCACTCAGCCATTTATCATGATGCCTCTTCGTACCAAAAAACTGGACAGCACCACCCCTAAACCACGAGCAACACAAGAAAATCATAACATTTTTAACTTAAATAAGTCAAAGATACATCAAATCCTGCAGCCCAATAACCAGATCAAATGATATGCACATTTAAAAGGCATAAAGTGATGCCATAAAACTTCTCCTAGCAACCAGAAAAATTAATTATTCAGAAGCTAGTTGTTTAGCCAAACTATCATAGTGAAAAATTCATCTCTAATGTGCTGAGAGGCAACCCAATACTTATCTAAAACTAGGATAGCTCAGTAACACCAACACATCAAAATTCCATCTGATGTAATCATTCCACTTAAGCTATAAAAAAATCTAAATCTCTCAAGCAAGAAAAACCACCACAAATCCACTCATAAGAACACGAAAATAAAATTCAACAAACCACAACAGATATTACCAAACGAGCAGGATAACAAAAAATATATATACCACAAAAAGAAGTGAACACCAATCTTGATGGCAAGTGAGTGATCAAAAACCTCAATAACCTCCAATAGCGCCAGCTTCCTCATCTCAGCTTCAAACCCTTTACCCGTGAGCCAGCCTCGGAAAACCCCGTTATCCAGCAAATACTGAATTCTCTTCATAGTGATCTCCCTCTGCTGTTCCATCGACTGGTTGTAATCAGGGACCACGAAGATTTTTCCGCCCCTCAATTTGGGATTGAAAAGCTTGCTCTGTACCATTAGATTGAAGAGCCAGTCCCTGTCCTCCAAGTTGTGGCCATCCATCAGCTTCCGCATTAAACCCACGTCGAATGAAGAGGACTGCACGGAGGCTTCCGGCGGATTGTAGCTGAGGCACGGAGACCCAAAAACGGCGGTGGCGGTGGCGCGATCATCTTGTAGGTGTCTGGTAAGGACACGAGCTCTGAAAGCTGCGTTATCCATAGCTGGTCTTTGTGATTGCTCGATGAGATCGTGATGTTATATGATAGATAACTTAATTGCTCGATGGAAGTCTTTGAGTAAAGGATCGTGATGGAAGCGGTCTTTGTAATTGAATGAAAATTGTTTTTATTCCACTAATTTAGCCAAACCATTGAGATTTGAGTGGGTGCAGAAGGTTTTTGCTGAGTTTTGTTTTTGTTTGAAAATTTTTTCACGTTTGGTGGCGTAACATTCAAATAAAAAGTAAATATAGAAATTGCCACATTTAAAAACATTATCGCATGACTTGGATAAGGAATGGGCCTTCCTACAATTATCAACGCTTTTTTCTCAAATCCCAAGAGAGCGCATGGGTTCATTTCACACTTCATTCATGGGCATGGCGCATCTAAATACACTATAATTTTTAAAAGGATTACTTGTCAAATAAACCTCGACCTTCTCACTTTTGGCAATCTCAAATTTTCAAATATTGCGATATAATTTGTATCTTGTCTTATTTTTGCAAAATAGACTTAAAACCCATCGGCCGGCCAAAACATGCCAGCGTATCCGGCTGTATTTTATCTACTTGTAATTTTTAATTTTCTTAATCCAATTTATTAAAATATGTGGAAAAAAGATTCCAGGAGTATAAAAACCCGTTCCCTTCCCAATTTCAGAAATTCCCAAATCAAATTAACCCTACTTCAAAAAAAAATCGATCTCGACAAAAAAAATCAAACCCTACAAATGAAATCTTATCTCTGTATCAAGAATCCGCAACAAAGTTGTCCCAATTGCATGCAAGTTTGTGTTTCTGCATTCCAGATTTCTTGTCGTCCTGCGTTCGAGATTCCTTATATGTCGGGAAAATGAAAGACAGGTGCTCCGAATGTTTTCTATTCTATCTTTCTTTCTTCTTCAATTTTTATTTCGATATTTCGAGTGTCTGGTCTTATATTTAGGATTCGATTAGAAATTACATTTATTCTTGGAATGTAGATATTTTTTTGTGAAATTGGGGTTCTTTTTTCGGGAAATTAGGGCTTTTCTGAACAATTACGTTTTTTTTTTTTGGAAACTAGGGTTTTTCTAAATAATTAAGTTTTTTGGGACAAATTTGGGCTTTTCTAAATAATTAGGTTTTTTGGGAGAAATTAGGGCTTTTCTGAACAATTAGGATTTTTTTTGGGAAATTTAGAGTCTTATGCAATTTACTTGTTGCTATTATCTTATTTATTCATATGTTTGCATTGCAGTGGAAAATTTTCAATTTTTGTAAACTATGGAAGTCAGTTCGTTAAATGTGGAACTTCTGTTGAGTACTTAGGTGGTAAATTCAAGACAGTTCATGGTTTAGATGTGGATAGATTTGGATATTTTGACTTAAAAGAAGAAGTTGGAGAAGCTGGGGGTTGAAAAGTTTGAAAAACTTGTATACAGAATACCAAAGAACAGTGGAGCAGATAGCTTTAAAGATGTTGTTGATGATAGTGTAGTTATGGGAGATGATTAGCCACGTTACTAAGGGAAGAACATTATTAGAGGTTTATGTGGTTGGAGAAATTATAGAGGAAGATAACAGTGAAAATGAAGCTAGTGTTGAAAGTGCACCAAGGTCAGAGGAACAATTTGATGTTGATTCATATATAGATAATTTCTCTGATCCAAAGAATCCTAAAGATGTCGATTTAGAAGCTGAGTCACAGAAAGATGGTGATGTTAATTTCTCTGATCCAAAGAATCCGAATGATGAGGATTTATTAGCTGAGTCACAGAAAGATGGTGATGTTGATACAGAAGTGAGGAATAACCTAAAAACTCCACAGTTGTCTACTTCCAATGTGGGTGACTGTGAGGTTGGAAGTGGGTCTGGGGATGATAGTGAGGATGAAGACTATTTTTCTGTTGATGATAGCTCATCTGATGATGAACTTTTTGTTGATGATTTTGCTTTTGATGATGATGCTGAATATCTTGAGGCAAGACAGAATTTGAAGAAGCACTAAAAGGGGATATTAGAGGATGATGGAGAATGTGCAGACAACATGAAGTGAAAGAAGGCCATTGAGATGGACAGTGAAGATTCTGGGTTTGTAGATTGTGCATTGGTTTCTGAAAATTCGGGTAGTGAGTGGGAAATGGATGATGATGGGAACTGTATAAGTAGAAGGAAAATGGTTACTTATGATCCAAAATGTGATCATAATACTCTTGAGTTTATGTTAGGGATGAGATTCATAAGCATAGAGGAGTTGAAAAAAGCAGTAAGGAATGTAGCAATTATTCAAGGGAGGGACATGAAGTTTCTGAAAACTAGCAAAAAACAGTTGAGAGTGAAATGTGTTGATGGTTGCCCTTGGACCTTATATGCAAGTGCAGTTATGAAAGAGGGTATTGTAGTAATTAAACAGTTGAACAAGGAGCACAAATGCCATAGAAATGTCCACACCAGGCAAGTTACATCAGAGTGGATTGCTGAGGAGTTTGTTGAGAAATTCAGAAAGAATCCAAACATGTCCATTACCCAAATGGAAGAAATAATATCTGAAAAGTTTGCAGTACAACCTACAAAGTGGAAGCTTTATAGAGAAAAGTGGAGAGCTCTTGAGATGCTTAGAGGTTCAGTAATTGGCCATTATGCTTCTCTGAGAAGTTACATGGCAGAGTTGTTGAGGGTAGATAGAGATGGAAGGTTTGAGTTTCTTCTTGGTGAAGAAACTACATTCAGAGGGTTCTATGTGGGATTTAATACACTGAGAAAGGGTTTCATTAGTGGTTGTAGGCCCATTTTAGGATTTGATGAATGTTTCTTGAAGACTTTTATTGGTGGGGCTTTATTGTGTGCCACAGCAAAAGATGGCAACAATCAAATATATCCTGTGGCTTGGGCAGTTGTTGAGACAGAAAATGAGGGATGTTGGAGGTGGTTTCTAGGTATTTTGTTTACTGATCTGGGAATTACTGATGGTCTTGGATATACTTTCATGTCAGACCAACAAAAAGTATGCTATGTCTCTAACATATATAAATTTTGTAAATTTATTCATAAATGAATTTTTCCACTTATTCATATCTGAATTTGTAAATTTTCAAATTTTATCCTTTTGCAGGGTCTTCTGAATGCATTGAGAGACTTGGCTCCACATGCTGAGCACAGAAACTGTGCAAGACATGTATATATGAATTGGAAGAAGAGTTTCAAAGGGCTCACACTGAAAAGCATTTTTTGGAAGATTGTGCTCAGCACTCACTTGGGGGACTACAACATATATTTGGAAGATTTGAAGTCAGAAGATCCAGATGCTTATGAAGATTTCATGGACAGAGATCCTACCAAATTCTGTAAGGCTTACATTTCTCCATTGTCTAGATGTGATATGATTGAGAACAATGTGAGTGAGACATTCAATTGAATGATTGTTAAGGGTAGAAGCAAACACATTATTGATATGCTTGAGTTTGTTAGAAGTGAGTTAATGAAAAGACAACATGACAAGTTGTTAGGACATAGTGAGTATACATATAAGATTTGTCCTAGAATAAGAAAGAAGTTAGAGCAACACAAATACATGTCTAGGCTCTGCTCACAAAGCCAGCTGTTGGTGAAAGATTTGAGGTTGTGAATGAGGATGATCAGTTTGTTGTGAACTTGAAGAACAAGACATGTACTTGCAGATATTGGGATATTAAAGTCATACCATGTGTACATGCATGTTCTGCAATAAATTTACAACATCAGGATCCTGTAGAGTTTGTGTCTAAGTACTACTCAGTTGAAAGGTATCTGCAATTGTACAGCTTGTCATTAGAACCCATAAATGGGAAGAAATTGTGGCCAGTTGCACAGGGTTATCTTATTCTTCCTCCTCCTTTTAAAAAGATGCCAGGAAGGTCAAAGAAGAAAAGGAAGAGAGTACCTGAGGAGGAAATGAATTGTGGGACTAAGTTGAGGAGGTTTGGGTTGACTATGACTTGCCAAAGATGTTTTCAAAAAGGGCACAATAAGAAATCATGCTCTAATCCTCCAGTGGAGAAACAACCAAAGGTTATAAATTCTATTTTAAGTCTTATTATGATAAACATCAATTTGAAAAACAAATCATATCATGTTTTAATCTCTTTTTTTTTTGTTAGAATCTAGAATCCAAGGGGAAGGCCCAAGAAAAATGTTGGATCAGCCCAACAGTCATGCTCTAATCCTCCAGTGGAGAAACAACCAAAGGTTATAATTACTATTTCAAGTCTTATTATGATAAACACCAATTTGAAAAACAAATAAAATCCTGTTTTAATATCTATTTTTTTGTTAGAATCCAAGGGGGAGGCCCAAGAAGAATGTTGGATCAACAGTTGAAAACACAAGTTCATTGTCAAAAAAGAAGTCAACCCAACAGTCAAACCAACAATCATCGTCTTTAACTCTAAAGGAAAGAGCTCTGGTAATAGCATTTTATTTTATTAAAGTTTAATTGATATGTTATTCCATATATCATGTTGTTTCTGTGCTCAGTTATTATTATATTTGTTTTTTAGGCAAGAAAGGGATTTGGAATCCTTCAGTCTGAGGAGACTAGTAATACCTACATGAGGGTATGTCTATTACCTTAACAGTTTTTTTTCTAACAATTTTTTATAATGATTTTCATTTATTATTTAAAAATGTCACAAATGCAGTTGTCATCAGAAAGAAGAGTTCATGTAATTTCTGAGAGAGGTGCTAGTTCTAGCAACACTGGAGGGAAGGGGAAAATGCAGAAGGGGAAGGAGACTAAGGGTGCTTTAGGCACTCAAGAGAGTGTTGCTCGTAGATGATGGTTAACTTAGGTTTATTTTGGAGTATTGTTGAACTGTGGATGATTAGAAAGGATTTACTTTTGTACTATTATTGATTGCGGAGTGTTGGAAGTATGTGATGTTGTTTTGGCACTCAAATTAGGCTATGTTGTTTTGGAAGTTCTCAGATTATTAATCACTTTGGAGCAGATTATTAATCAATTTGCAGTGTTGTTGTAATGTTTAGAGTGCTTTATCATTGTTTGTAACACTACAAGAAATTACATGTATCATGACGAAAATCGTGTGACGGAAAAAAATTCGTCACCTTTGATTGTCTTATGGTGACGAATTTGACAAATTGTCACTACATCATTGTATAATGTGACGATTACTACTGGCGTCATCATAAAACTTGTTTTTCGTCACATAATCGTAATTTACGTGACAATACATCAAAAGTCGTCACCTTTATATAAAATATGACGAAGTTTCATGTGACAAAATATATCGTCGTTGTTATTGATTTCTAAGATAACACATTTGAATAAAGCGTCAATATATAATTTTTTACTGCGACAATACATTACAATACATCTATATTCGTCACAGTAATACATAATATGACGAAATGCTATATGACAAAATATATGTCGTCGTTTTTTATGGTATTTAAAATGAGACTTACGGATGAATCATCATTATATAATTGTGCCTTGTGACGATACATTACACTACTTTTAAATTCGTCATAGTAATACATTTTATAATGAAATGCAACGCGACAAAATACGTGTTGTCGTGTGTTTTGGTATTTACAATGACACTTGTGATTAAATCGTCATTATATAATTTGCATTGTAAAAATTGAACCTAAATTGAACCTAATTGAATAAAATGATCTGATTTAACCAAGTAAAAATTTATCTAAGTCCCTTAGGGGGTGATTGTTTATCAATCCAATTAAAAAAAAACCAATCAAAACTCAAATTTAACTCAACTTTAACACAACTCCACTATCTCCATTATTACCAATATAATTAAATAATTCCAGCCAATCATTCTTACACATCACATCAACTTTAATTCACTATTCATCCACTCACATAATTTTAACTAACCATTATTTCCAATCATTTTTCTCTTACTTTTACATCTATCAATTTTAATTATTTTATTTTAAATATTATTTTAATATATGCACTAACAACTAACTATACTAACTTTTTACAAAAGTAACTATAGTTAAAAAAAACCAATTAATTTCTAGATGAATTGATAAACAATCACCCTCTAAGTAATTCTAAGTGAGCCGAATTAATACTGAGAGAAAACTCTGCCCAATTCTATCCCAAGTCCAAGACCCAAGTCAAGCCGGCCCTTTGTGCATTTGAACTCGACCACTCTTCACCCTAGCAACCAGCCCTATATCCGGTCATATTCAAAGCTCCCAACCAACAGCTTACTCTCTCCCACACCAGCCGCCACCAGCCGACCAAGGGAGCCCTCCTAGCGTAACCGCTCCTCCAATTCTCGGCCAACTTACCCACAACATCTCCCTCCAAGATGCAACCCTAAAGCCCCACCTTTTTAACACCAAGCAACACCAGCGCTGTTTCACAAGTTTCATAAAAATTTCCCTAAGTACTCCCTCAGCAGAACTCCTTTCTGGCCAGCAGATTTCCGGCGTGTCGGAGAACCAAGCAGCTTCCGGCGAGTACCAAGCAGAACCATCGCCAACCGAGAGTTACTAAACGCGGCTGAGAGAGCTGGCCATTCATGGCGGCTAGCGAGCCCACCCGAGCACCGAGAAGGAGCTCTGTTTCTGGCGACCCGAGAACAGCCGAGAATTTCTAGCAGCTCCCGAGAGCCATCGCCGAGCCTAGGACCAAGTGACTGAGAGCCTTAGCCTTTACCCTTTTTCCAGAAGAAAGGTAATTTGGCTGAGCCGATTTACCTCTTATATGGCCGAGTTTCCATGGCTTAAAAATTTAGTTAAAGAATAAGAAAATGTCATGCTAAGCTCTTTAATAAAAGTTAAGAAGAAGAGAAGAAATTTGACTTGTTTTGGCTTTGATTTGTGAAGTTTGTCGAGCCTAAGTTAATGTTAATTTCATGCTGCAAATTATGAGTTCAATGTGTTTAATTATCAGAAAAAGAAGAAGAATTTAGTATGCAAAGATATGGGATAAAAGCTTAAGAAAAGAGAAACAAGAATGATTATTGTTATCGCTTTGAGTTGTTGATTTGCTGAGCCATTGACATGTTAATTCTTGCTATAGCATATGAGTTTATTTGGGTTAAAAAGATCAGTTAAAGAAAAGAAGATTATTAGGAAGATTATTGGTATTATTGGCCTTATGAATATATAAAGGCTTAAGAAAAGAAGTTAATAAAATCCAAGTTGCGGCCTTGATTGTTTATGTTTTGCTGAGCTTCGGTCTAATGATAATTTCATGTTGAAAGTAAGAGTTCAGTGAAATTAAAGTTTCAGCAAAGAAGAGTTAAGTAGCATGCTTAAGATTTTATTTAAAAATCTAAGAAAAAGGGAAGAAAGGAGATTAGTTTGGCTTTGTTTTGCTAAGGTATACTGAGCACATTTTCCCTTTTATTGAATAATTATATTGATTTTGAATGCTATTTTGAAGCTTCCAACACGAGGAGACTCATTAAACTAGCAATTGTGTTGAAAAATATCTAATGAGAGTGCAAGGAAACTGATGTTAATGGGCTGTCATTTCTCATTTCTGAATAATCTCGACTGCTTTCACACAATGGATTAAGTAATGAACAATCTCGACTCCTTTCACACGATGGATTAAATACTCCTTTCCAATCCAACAAAACCGAGCCTCATATTTGCTATAAGTAATTTATGTTCATGGTTTTTTGGTATAGGGCGATTCTAAAATCAAATTGTTATCATGGGCAAAGGGCACGATGCTCCATGTGAATATAGAGGTAACTTTATCATGTTATTGTTTGGGGCAGTTCATGTTGTATTCTCCCATTTACCTGACCTACACAAGTGCAGTGGCTCTACATAATTGAAGCCATCATGTCCTTTTTGTACGCTTTCATCCGGCTGAGGCTTTGCTAAAGTATCAGGTAGTTCATATTTTATGCTTTGTTAATTTATGTTCTAAAATAAGATTCTCGTTCTAAAGATGACTTCTGGTGAATGCAGAAAATGGTGAGATCAGGGATTTGAGTGGAGTATCTACAACCACTGTCGCTCATAAAGTATGACTCTCATCTCAGGCAGTTGGAGACATTGCTTTTGCTTTCACCTACAACATAATTCTTTTGGATATCGAGGTTAGAACCTTTCTTGAGCTCTGTTCTACGTTAGCTATTTTACTATTTATTATGATAAAACTATATATACTTGATATTATGAAAGACAAACGTGTAAATGAAGAATACTCTCAAGGCACCACCGGCCAAGAACAAGACAATGAAGAAGGCATCGACTTATATTTATCACCAACTTTTTCTTTTATCTGTTGTGGGTCCTTCAGGTTTGCAGCTTTCTGAAACCAAGCACCATGAAATCAGTTGACGGGCTTCGAATTTTATGATCCCTACTGGCTTGTCGACATTGCTATTGCATGTATCATTCTTCACCTTGTGGGTGAATATCATGTAGATCTCTCATTACTCAATTTTTCTATTTTTTCGAATTCAGAAACTTTGTAAATATTTCATTTTACTTGATCCTGACAAGTTTCAACTACTTTTCTGTCTGCTTGTAGATATACAGTGGATTTTTGAACAACGAGTATGTAGCCAAGCTCCCAATGCTTCCACGTTTCAAGTTAAGCATTTTCTGGCTCTGCTTTAGGACTGCTTATGTGACATCAATAATCGGGCTCGCAATACTTTTTCCATACTTCACCGAAGTCTTGGGAGTTCTTGGGGTTGAGTCTTTGGCCTCTGGCGATTTATTTCCCCATGCAAATGTACTTTGTGTAGAATAAGGTGAGAGCTTGGATGGGCATCTGGATTGTTCTTCAAGCTCTCTGGATATTCGGCTTGGTGTGCACTGTTTTTGCTTTTATCAGATTGGTTGAAGGCCTTATAGAACATATTTATTGTTGATTAAACAACATTTGGCCTTTCACTTTTTTGTTGGGTGAATGAATTTACTAATTTCGTAATCATAGAGCTAATAATTTCTTGACAAAAGAATTCGTCACTTTTGTATGTTTTTGGAGACAATGAATATTTTGTCACTACTTCTATTTTTTTGTGACATTTTTGTTATCGTCATATCTAAAATTTCTTTATGTGACGACCAATATTTTGTAATTATAAAATAGCTCTTCTATGACGAATTACACGAAATATGACGATTTTTATAACGAAAACGCCACAAGGATATTCGTCACCGAAATTTTATAAATTCGATAAGACAATAAAATTCGTCACTAAAAAAAATAACATTTAGATGACAAAGTTAAGTTTTCGTCATTTAAAACTTGTCTTTTTATGACAAAATAATTGTTTACATGACAAAGTTCTCATAATAAACGTGACGAAATTATCGTCATGAAAGGTGACCAAATAATATGATGATACATATAATCATCATTAAAAGTGAAACATTTGGTGACAAACTCAAAATTTGTCACCTTGACCTATTATGACGCGGATACGGTGACGATCGCTGTGGCGATAAAATTTCGTCATCAATTTGCTTTTGTGACGAAAAATAAGGTTTACATGACGAAATTTATCGTCATGTTTTCTGGAATTTCTTGTAATTATCTCAGTTTTCTATAAATAATGTGTTGTTAAGTTGGATCTCATAAATTTCAGAACATAACAAAAGATTACACAAAATAAAAGGACAATAACAAAGAGATAAAACACAACAATAGATTACATTCTTTCTTAAGTTCAATACATCCACAAAATGAGATAAAACAGAACAATATTCAAAGCAACATTTTAGGCCTCTGCTCATGACCAGATTTCCCAACCAAACTAAGGAAAAAAATCATCATAACCACAATCAAGCAAAACATTACAACATTCATCTTCCTTTCAGTTTTTGCATGAGACCTAATGTATTTTTCGTAACCAGCACGGCTTCATTGTTCTTCCGAACTTCAACCTCAAGATCATTCAGTTATTGTTCAAAGTCAATGTCACGGTCCGCAATTTCATCTTTTTCCAATACCTTTCCAGAGTACAATTTCTCCACTGCAACCTTACCCCTCAACTGCTCGTCCAAATACTCTTTCTTAGATTTCAATTGCAAAAAACAAGATTTTTGGAACTGAGAAATTTCGGGATCAATCCATTCGAACAAACCGCAGCCCTTCCCTTCCTAAACAATGTAAACCGAAAAATTAGGGTTTATAGAAATTGGGGTTTTAATTAGGTTTATGAAAATTAGGTATTTTGAAGAAAACAATCGAAAAAGCCACGGTCATTCCCTTCCTAAACAATGTAAATCGAAAAAAATTAGGGTTTATAGAAATTGGGGTTTTAATTAGGTTTATGAAATTTGGGGATTTTGAAGAAATTAGTGTTCTCACACAATATACGTAGCTCACCTTCCACGTAGCAGATCTATAGAACCTTCTACATGGATTATCGTCCGTCGTGGAGGAATACACCTTCGCTACCTTGGGATGGCGACAGCGACAGATCTTCGAAGGAACACTGGAGCTTCCAAAACTCTGGCTTGCGCGAGATGAAGATGACATCTTCCACTAGCAGGATCCTGGCTTGCTTGCTCGAGCTATCGTCTGCCAAAAGAAAAAAACAAGAACTTTCAAAAGTAAGATTGAGAAATTAGGGTTGGGGAATTTCTGAAATTGGGGGGGGGGGGGGGGGGGGGGAGGGGGGGAACGGGTTTTTATACTCCTGGCATCTTTTTTCCACGTATTTTAATAAATCGGACTGAGAAAATTGAAAATTACACGTAGATAAAACACAGCCGGACACGCTGGCATGTTTTGGCCGGCCGACGGGTTTTAAGTCTATTTTGCAAAAGTAAGACAAGGTACAGATTATATTGCAATTATTCGAAAGTTTGGATTATATAGCAACATTTTAGGCCTTTGCTCAATTCAACACGTGAAGAAAAAATAATAAGAATGATCGAGCTCGACTCTGATATAGCATTTAAAGATAGCTCGGTTGAATCAACTACAGTTAGCTCGATTTGCAGACCGAAGACTAGCTAGGCTGGTTAGGAGTAACAAAGGCACAAGTAACTTGGATAGCTAGGGCATGTCTCCAGCTTAGCAATTAAGGATTTCGGATAACTTAGATATAAGTATAGCTCGGACATTAAAGAGCTCAGATAACTTAGATATATTTATAGCTCGAACATATAGTAGCTCAGATATGATAACATGGTAGTTAGCTCAAATAGGAAATGGATTGACCGATATAGTATGTCGAGTCCAAACTGTTAATAAGGGACGTGCAGGGTCACGAATAAAAGAGACAAATAATCGGACGAACGAGTGTAAAACTAGATAACTTACAGGCAGACCTACGAGTAGCCTAATAATCGACAGGCATCCCTTTTAGGTAATCGAGTAGGCCTTTCGGGGTGGTCGGGTAGATTAGAGACTTGTTCAAGAAACTAATAATCTTCTATAAATAGGTAATTTGGAGAAGGTAAAGGTTAACCACACTTTATACATTCTAAATTTTCAGTATATTTCCATATAGCTTTTCATATCACCTTACTTAATTGATCGTCCGATATTTAATGCCGAAAACATCTCCCTGCGTCTTTGCAGGTCTTCGGGGAGCAAATTAGTCGAGCGATTGTAGAGAGTCGGTTTGAGGTGCAACTGCACATCAGCATCTATGCTCGAGATGGACTCAATGCTCGACATGGTTCGAGTTCGGCTCAAAATTTTAACAACTAAATTTTAATTATAATCGGCGACTCGAGTTATTTGTCTGTAAATCGTCTTCGTCTTCTGTATTATTTTTAATCTAAATAGACAATTTTGCCCTTGTGTTCATTAATAATTAAACTATAGGGAATGACATGGACGGAATGATTCCGTTAGTGTTTGTTACCATAGATTATCTTATATTAGATAATCTATATGTGTATCCAACGGTGAAAAGCACTGACGGATCCATCCTGTAACGAGAGTCGAGACTGTAGCCATCCCTTAAACTATATCAAATTATGAGGTATTTATGTGAATAAAAAGTCGAGTCTCTTTAAATGAGACTCGAGACTCGACTCTACTCGTTTGCTCGATTAAACCGTTCGAGCTCAAGATTGTCTGTTCGCGAGCCGCTGGGCTCGTTTCTAGCCCTACTCCCATGATTATTACAAGAAGTACTTGAATTATATTCTTATTAGTTTTCTTTGGTATTTTAATGGACACTTTTTTAAAAATGTCCAATCCTCTTTCAAACTTCCATGTCAGTCTCTACCCTCTACACTCCCTACCCCTCAAATCATTCTTCCACTTAACTCCCTCTCTTTAAAATAAATCAAAAATAAATGAAGTTATGACATCACCCCACTAACACCTAACATTACACATTATTTTATTAGTTTCTTATACCTTTTTTTTAAAAAAAATTTGTTTCTTATACCAACCATATATAATAATATACTATTTTTATCAATCTTCTTCCCCACCAAAAAACCTCCCCCGTTTCCCTCACTCCCGTCACCTTCTCCAGCAATATTTTTTTTATTTTTTATTTTTTATTTTTTTTGCAGGTTCGTCCTCCGGCGACATAAAATCCGGCGATAAGAACTCTGGCGGCAACAGATCCGGTGAAAGAAGTGATCCGGCCGTGAATTTTCACGGCGAAAAATTGGTACTTTTCCGGCAACATTTGGCCATTTTCCGGCCAAAATTTGAAGTAGTGAGTAACCTATATATTATATGAGGACTTTGGTGTCCAAAAATCGTCTTTAAGTCATATATTTTTGGTTAATTTGTTAAGGATTCAATTTTAAAAATTGTTACTTATATTTACCTTAAAACACATAAAGTGATAATAATCTCTTTTTTGTTGTTCATATATACCAAATTGGTGCTATTTGTAGGTTATGTTAGGTGTTATTCACCCTAAAACAAAAATATAAGATAAGAATGATTATTGTACCAATATTATTTATTAAGATGAGAATGATTATTGTACCAATATTATTTATTTTTGTACCTATGTTTGCATATCGTAATACCACTTTAATGCTGTTTGGTACCGTATCTGCTGGAAAATGTGAAGTTATTTTTCATTTTATTCAATTATTGTTAGATGCATGGAATGGGCACAAAGTGATACACTAGGGAGTTGTACCTACAAAAATGAATTGTTTGTGTTCTCTATGCACTTTGGATCAACGTTTGACGAAATGTACACTCTCATTGCTAAGAGGCGGCTGAATGTTAGTTTCGAATCCGTCATGCTAAGCTATATTGGGCCAAAGGAAAAAAAAAAAAAAAAGAGATAGTTTGTCCGTTGATGGGGATATACAAAATATGATTCGGTTACATGTTTGTTTGAAATTAAATATTGTAGAGATAGTTGCCATTGAAATAAATCAAAGACTGAATGATGGAGTTAAATCCATCCCGATGAACATGAACAGGTAATGTTGCTTGCATAATAGTATTAAATTTATTATTGAGGTATGATATAGTCGTATCATATCCTAGTTCATTAATTTTTTTAATTAGTTCAAATATTTATAAATATTTGTATTATATCCTTGATATATATATATATATATATATATATATTTATAAGTTTGATTATTTTTTAAATAATAACTATTTTCCGCCAAAAAAATGTTGTTTACTAAATCTCGAAATTATTTAAATCTTTTATGATATGTTTTAAAGTTACAATTTAGGTAATTGCGGCTGATTTATTATGGTAATACTAATCACATATATCACTATCTAATATCTCAAGATACACATTTCCTAAAAACTACCTTAAAGAATACAGTTGTATCATTTGATTTGCGTAATCATATATTTAAAGAAAACTAATAAATATCCGCAATTAAAAAGAAATAAACTTTTAAGCTATTTAACTTATGTAATTCGAATTATTTATTTCATATTGTGTAATTTTTAGTTAAAACA